CAGAGATGCCCAGAGGTGCCAGAATTCAGTTGCGACACCTCTGTTCAGGAGAAGACTGCAACTAGTGTCGCGACCACCACGCGCAAGTATAAATAGTTACGGCGCTCCTGTGAAGTCACATTGTCGCACTACAGGTCGGGAACGGCGAGTATATAACAGCCTTAAGGGTTACCCACCTTTCTAAAAGGGGAAGGCTCAGCACACACTGGTGCAGTTAGGTTGTGGGTGTGCTAACCCAAGGTGGAGGAAGTATTCAGGTCCATTAATTAAGCAAAAGTACGAATACCAACCCAATTGAGAAAATACTCCACTAAAAGGAAACAATTTGCATTCTATATGTTAGTATAGAATGCAGTGCAGTAAAGTTTTATTAGTATAGCACACACCAGAAGTACTGTCATTATATATATGAAGTTTTTGGATTTTTGGATTAGATTGAGCTACTTTATATACTGTAAAGTAGTTTAATCTACAGCAATGCAACATATTCTATAAGATATATGTTTGCATTTGAGACGGTTTATGGTATGCTATTTTAGAGAAAATGTGTATCCCCCACACACAAGGAAACTGAAAGCATCAGCTAGAGAGCACTCACCCTGAGCTTTCTCCCGAAGACGATGACTTTTCCCCGTGTCTGTTCCTTCCTGAACCTCCACTCCACCAGGTTTTGGCCATTCTCTCCCGGCAGTGTCATGTTGCGTCGGGCTACAGTTGGGTTGGCAGCGCCTATGGATATGGATAAGATGTGAATACCTATAATATAGTGGAAAAAGTCCAAACCAGAGAGCAGTGCTAAGTTTATTTCACAATTTGATTCATGGGAGTCCCTGTAAATTAATTAAACTATGGCATTTTTCTTCATCTTTTGTTTCTACCATGGTACCTTGCGCACTACCTGTGGCGGTGCACACCTTTATACGGTAGTAGTTAATAGTAGATCATCCTAACCGTGCTAGTACTGCAATATTACTGAGCTCCTTTTCTTTATCAAGATACATATTTTGATGAAACTCAAACTATTTAAGCTGCAGTAGTAAGCTTTATTTTTAAATTACCTTTTCTCATTTTTGCTGAAACTTTCACTATATTCTGACAGTAGTACATGAGACAGATCATCTGTGAAATAATAGGGTTCCTCTGGCTCCTCCTAGTGCTCCTAGTGGCATTTGCAAGAATCCACCATGTCTGATGAAAAACAACCAATCAGAGCCGAGAAAGATAGGATGCTTCAGGTTGCTTGCTTTTAGATAGTTGATTGTTGAGCCAGATTTGTTCTGATTTCATCTCTTATCTTTGTCTCATGTTCTACTGTCAGGATATAGTGAAAATTTCAGGAAATAGGACAAAGAGTTATTTTTTATGAAAGCCTACTTTAACCTCTAACTTTGCACCATGGTACATGCCTGTGTGAATTTTAATCATTTACATTAGCCTCTCTGTAGGGTTTTATTTATCTGTACCAGCATATAGCACTTCAGACTTTTAAGGTTTCTATCTTGAGATAGGGTTTGTATGTGCATATTGGTCACTTTTTGTTGCTACTAACCATTTTCCAAAGCATGATGTAGTTCTGTACCTTCAGAAAATCATATGAAAATCAACCTGCACAGACCTGGCACTTGCTTTAACTGGTCATCAATCACTATAGGCATCACTTCTATATTTATTGTCATGAAAGTTATATTGCTATAGATAGGTAGTTCAGCTTCAAATGCAGGCTTGTAAATCTGATATGTCTGCAATACATTACCATGCAATGATAATGCCAACATAATAATATAAATATAATATAATAAATAAAAGCAGGCATATTTATTTTCAGAGTATAACAACTGAGAACATGACACTGACACCGATACCCCACTATGATCTGGAGCTGCAACAACTAATCTATTAGTTGTCAACTGTTAAATTAATCACCAACTGTTTTGCTATTCAATTTGAGGTTTTAGTAATAAAAGTCAAAATCCAGTTTGTCAAATGTAAGTATTTTCTGATTTCTTTACTCCTCAATGACAGTAAACTGAATATCTTTGGGTTGTGGACAAAACACGATTTGAGGATGTCACCTTGGGCTTTGGGAAACAATTTTCACCATTTTCTGGATCAAACAACTAATTGATTAATTAAGATAATCGATAAAAGTTGCAGATCTACTTCCCAACAGCACAAGAAGACACACACACACACACAGACACACACACAGACACACACACACACACACACACTCTGTGTGCTCCTGTGTGGGATCATCAGAGTCAGATAAGCTCCTTCTATCTCCTCATATCTGTGTGCAGATAAGCTAATGGACATAATGGAGTTCAGCTGAAGCACAGTGAGTGTGTGTGTGTGTGT